TCTCGTCGAGTTGCCGCTGGGTGGAACAACACATAATCTTGTTTTCTATAGGTACGCATATGACTCATTCTCAAATCATGCACTCTACCATTCTGTATAGACGCTGCCCTTGGACTTAAAATTCTTTAGTGTCGGTTCCTGTGGCTGTGCCCGGTTCTTTTCACTTTTCGGGCCCGCATTTTTTCTCTTCGACATTCAATGATTAGCCTATTTGGCTTATCCTGGTCCCCACTCCTTGGTCTACACTTCGACCACATTTTTATTCTGCCGGATTGATTGTGCTCTTCGGTAATTTGTCACAATTCCTGTTCTCTAAGCAAGTTTTATTTGTGAACACCCACGGTCCCAAAGCGTACAACCAAGAATATCCGCGCCGGGCTTTCGGCTTTGGGAATCTGTGTCAAATGAAGAACTATACATTAATTTGTGAATATATTTAGTAAAGTAATTTCGTCATCATGTAAACAATCTATGAAAGATGTAGCTATTTAGGTTAGATGAAGAAGGGCTGGTCCATCTTTTGGAAGGTATAAGTTGATGCTATCACTTTTTCTTAGAAACTATAAGGCCTCTCATCAAATCAAAGCTGTTGCCGTCTGGATGTAGGGAATAAACTTTGAACGGCGGAGTTAGTTCCGAAGCCTGCAGATATCCGTATTCATCTAAGCCGGTTATCCGGCAGGCTGTCAATTCACTTTTTGCGCACCCGTCCTCGCAAGTTGGTTGGTTCACAGTCATCTCTGCAATGTTCACAATTTGATCTCTGAAATTTTAAAGAAGGCAAGTAGTCAGTTTGAATGTTCATACGAGGAAATGATGGCAATGGTGGTTACGTGTGAATCCAGCATCTAGTGTACAGCTCGAGTGCCCGGTCCAGTCCAGCGTTGTGACCTCTGGCCGTCTGCCCACCGCCCTGGTCCGTGTTATCAGCAAGTTTCTTGCTCTCCACCTGCTCAGTGTGGGATTGTGCCGCACTTTCTATAACTTTCTCCAAGTGATTTGTAATGCAGGCTATGGTCTCTTCCACGGTGGGCAGCGAGGCTGTTAGCTAAAAGTAAAAGTTTAGAATAATCATTTTCCATACCTGCCTTCAGTCGGCTGGCCGCCGTCAGTCTACATGAGTGGACTTATGCAGCTTGTCTGCGTTATTGCCAAACTGGCTTAGCCTTAAACTTGCTTGCATCTTGGCAACGCTGAGCACTGACGGCAACTTGCACCTGCGATCCTGCTTATTACTTTCGGGCATGAACATTCTGCATCCTATTCTCCTTTTGCTGTTGGACACACAATGGCCCAAGGTATTGTGGAGTATTGCTAGGTTCTATTTTAGTATCAGAAGGCTAAATGGATCTTCAAATGGCACGATTTTGGATACGAAATCAGGTGGACTCTTCATTCAGGTCGCCGCCGTTGATGAAATATCTCATATTGGAATTATTCGCGAAGTAAATGGGCCTCTTGATGCCGTTAGAGTTCAACTAGCCTTGTGTAGAAAAAACTTTGCTTATTCGCGACTGGGTGCGGTGTCTACCTGATCTGAGCACCTCGGCAACAGCAGGTTTTAAAACCGGGCCATAACTGTTGCCGCGTGGTGGCGGCCACAGATGCCAATGGGCTGCAAGGCGGCCGTAATTTTCAGGACAAGCCAGGAATCTATATCACATCAGTAATGGGATAGTCAATGATGTAGACTCTCATCTGCCACCAGTGATGTTATTTGAAACTAGACTTTCAATTTAAAGACACTTCGTATCAGAATAGGCAACATCACAGATGGGCTTTATTTTGGCCCCGAAAGTTAGATGAATCCATGCCCAGCAATGTGGGTTGCGATTCCTATTAATCTCACGAGAATCTATCATCTTATGCGACC